TGCGGCTTGACAGGAGCCTTGCCTCCTGTCTGTGGAGTCAGTTACAAATGGAGCAGCCCCCCAGGCCGCCACACAGCTCCCGCCAAGGCCTCCGTGCCCCTTGCCATTTTCCAGCCGGCTCCCACCAGGGTCCAGGCGGCGGGGAGAGGCCGAGTCGCTAGAGCTCGGCCGGGCGGCCCTGCCAGGTGGTCTGGGCCATGACCACAGCTCCGGAGGAGGGCTCCCCTTCTGCGCCCCTCCCCGCGGAGATGAGGGGAAGATGTCCGTGTCAGGGTTCAAGGCCAAACTGAAGTTGCTGGCGTCTACCTTCCACAAGAACCAGGAGCCTCAGTGGAGGCTCATGCTCCACTGCAACAGGACGGTGAGGCGCCCGGCGGCGGCCTCGCGAGGCAGGCCGAGGGCGGAGAGGGGGCGCCCAGAGTCCCGGGACAAAGAGGAGCCTGCCCCGGAGAGGCCCGGGTTCTCCGCCCCTTTCTCCCTCAACTGGACCTGCCCTGCCCGGGGACTGCGCGAGGTTTGGGTGGCAGGAGGCGGAGGGCGCGTCTTTCGGCGACTCGCGCCCGGCTGGCTTGGGGGCTGCTGGATCCTCTTGGCCCCCGCCGCCGCGCCCCGAGGTGGAAGCCCGCGGAAGCCAGAGCCCTCTCGGGACCCAAGGTCGTCCTCAGTCAGCCGGCCTGCTCCTGGGACCGCGCGACAGGGCGGGGCAGGGCGGCTCCAGCTTTGTCTGAGCCCAGGCGGGGAATGGGAAAGGCCTTTAAGATTTTAGGTGTTTTGGCCGAGTGCAGTGGCTCATACCTGTAATCCCAGCACTTTCGGAGGCCGCGGCGGGCGGATCACCTGAGGTCAGGAGTTTGAGACCAGCCTGGCCAACATGGTGGAAACCCCGTCTCTACTAAAATATACAAAAATTAGCTGGGCATGGTGGCAGGCGACTTAATCCCAGCTACTTGGGAGGCAGAGGCAGGAGGTTGCAGTGAGCGGAGATCGAGCCTAATTCACTTTTTGTTTTGATTAATTTACCCTTTTTGAGGGGTGAGGGCTCAGCTTTGTCATGTGTAAAGTGAAGGATAGTAACTGGGCTGATGGTTACAGACTAGGATGCATGTCAGAACCACCTCAGAGAGCTTTTTAAAAACAGATTCTTAGCACTTTGGGAGGCCAAGGTGGGCGGATGATGAGGTCAAGAGATCCAGACCATCCTGGCCAATATGGTGAAACTCTGTCTCTACTAAAAATACAAAAATTAGCTGGGCGTGGTGGCACGCACCCGCTGTCCCAGTTACTGGGGAGGCTGAGGCAGGAGAATCGCTTGAACCCAGGAGGCAGAGGTTTTCAGTGAGCCAGAGATCCTGCCACTGCACTCCAGCCTGGCGACAGAGCAAGACTCCATCTGTTAAACAAACAAACAAACAAACAAACAAACAAACAACAAAAAAAACCATTCTCTGGGTAGGCTTTGAAATGAGCATTTCAAAAATGCTCTTTCAATCACTGATGCAACCAAAGTCTTTGGGACTTTTAGGCTAAGTATATATTCTTTAGATACTCAGAATAGTTTGATTTGGAATATAACAATTTAGGGAAATGAAGAAGGGGTGAATTATATTTTGGAAGCTGCTGCTTGCTTCCTTTTTTCATTTAGTTTTTAGAAGACAAAGAATGTCTAAAGAGCTGCAGATTTAAAGGAAATATAAGTTAATTCTGCATGGGTATGTTTATCTACACGGCATTCTCCAGCTCACTAATCCAGCAGAGTTCTAACACCCTCTGTGGTCATGGGTTGTTTTTCTTAAGTATTCCTCCATCAGAGTATCTAAGAACAGATGCTTAGATACTGCTGAGACTTTTGTTGGTCTTACTTGATCTCTGGATCATAGTTCCTTGATATTTTACATATTCTGAGTTCTAACCTGAACTGGCCTTCATGGTTAAAGATGCATTTATATACTGTGCACTGGCCAGGAAGCTTATCTTTTGAAATTTGCCCTGAGTATGAAGGCCCTTCCTAAAACCCCATTACACTCATTTCTAAACTTAGTAGTTGTAAATTGTGTCAGTTGTTAAATTCTGTCTTGTAGAGAGGTATTTTGTAGTAAATAACATATTTTTAAAACTGAAATTTGCATTTTAGTAAGGTGGTAATCATAATTCTTAGTTTTGTGAGGTGTCCATAAATAACACATCTGATCTTTTAAAATATAAGGCAATTGAATTTATGTAATGATTCAGGCTTTTCAAAGTTAAAAAGGTAGTTATTTTAAGGAATGGATAGTTTGTGACATTTATTTTAAACAAAATAAGCCATTGATCTTATACACATAGCCATGTAAGTAAAATGTTTTCTTATTTTAAATTAGATTATGTTTTAACTTTTTTTTGGTTTTGCTTTATATTTGACTGATTGCTTTTCTTTATTCCTAATTCTTTTATTTGTTCCATTTTTAAAAGCTGATAACTGTTGTTTGTCAAGTCAAAGTTGGATTTAAAAATAAACATTTAGTTTTAATAAGCTGATAGCGGCACTGCAGTGACAGATGGTTGAGAGTTTGTCACTAAAGCTGTGGCACCAGTCTTCAAATGGACTCAGCCTATATTCAACCTGTGTAGCCCTGGCAGATTCTTTCTCTATTTCAGAATGGGACAACAGAAGAAGTGACTTCAGACGAAGAGGAAGAGGAAGAAGAGGAGATGGCTGAAGTAGGTATTTTATGTAAGAATGATATTTCATAAATGTCATCATTTTTGGTTTGAGTAATTCTCTAAATCTCCTTTGTAAACTACTATTAATGTGGAATAATTGAAAGCACATTGTATTTGGAATGGAATATAATTTCTCAACTCTGGCTTTACCTCTAACTGATGAGACACTTTTGAGCAAATTGCTTTATCTGAATTCTTTGGATTTGATTTCCTGGAAAACAAAAGCTCTTAACTTTTAGCACCAAAGTTTTATTTATATCTAATACTAATCAGTCCTTACCCTGTATTTGGTTATTTTTAGGCAGATAAACTAGTAAGTTTAAAAATGTTTATGTTTGCATAGAAGGAGAATTTGTGAACATGTTAGGGACTGCTCACCAGAAGTAGTGAAACTGTCTCTTATTGAAAAATCATCAAGGGATTTTGTTTGTCTGTTTCATGCTGCTATAGTAGAATATCAGAGACAGGGTAATTTATAAAGAACAGACATTTATTTTCTAACAGTTCTGGAGACTGGGAAGTCCAAGATGAAAGTACCAACATTGGGTGTCTGAGGGTCTTCTTGTTGCATCTTCACATGGTAGCAGGCAGAAGGGCAGGAGAGCAAGCTAGTCCCATGTGTGAAGCCTCATTCATACGGGCCTTAATCCCATTAAGGAGGAGGGAGCCCTCTTGGCCTAATCACCTCTTAAAGGTCCTACCTCTTAATATCATCACATTAGAAACACCTGAATTTTGGAGGGAACACATTCAAACAGTAGCAAATTCAGTAGAGCAAATTCCAAAGACATTGAGCCTAGGCCAGTTGTCAGTTATGGGTATAATTTTAGATGTTTTCAGACTCTGAAGCTTTGCATTTAAATTGAGACTTCAGAACAAAGATCTATGTCTCTGCATTGATCAAATAGAAGGTATGTGAATTTTATGGTCTTGATTGTTTTAAAAGATTTTTTTCTGTTTGAGGTCTTCTAATTAATTTAGGCTTTCATTTTCTTGGTTTGGAAATTATTAATTTAAAATATACTTTAGAGTTCTTCAGAACTAAAGAAGCAGTGTTGTAGGCTTGTTTTTGTTTGTTTGTCTTTTTGAAACAGGGTCTCACTGTCACCCAGGCTGGAGTGTAGTAACGTGGTCATGGCTCACTGCAACCTTGAACTCCTGGGTTCAAGCAATCCTCCTGAGTAGCTGGGACTACAGGCAGGTACGCCACGTCCAGCTAATGTTTTTTTATTTTTTTGTAGAGTTTGAGTCTCATTCTATTGCCTAGGCTGGTCTTGAACTCCTGGCCTCAAGTGATCCACCACCTCGGCCTCCCAAAATGCTGGGATTATAGGTATGTGCCACTGTACCTGGCTGTAGGCTTGTTTTATGAGTCTGGGGGTAAAATACTTCTTAAAATCGTTCAGTTAGAATGGGAGTTTGTTTTAATGTTTTTATGCAGTTTAGCTGAGGTAGAATAAACTGCATGAAAACATTAAACCTTTTCCGTGGGTCAGGCGGCCATTGTATAAAGATCATGAGCCCTTTCATTTTCCCCTCACAAGATAATGAACAAGGGACCACAATTTTGAGGGAAATTGAATAGAAGGGTAAGAGACTAGACTTTGGAGATGTCAGATGAGGACAGCTGAAAAGCAGATATTCTAGGCTCCTAAAAGAATGTGGGAACAGGCCCAGGACAACCTTGGACATGGTGTGTTTGGGTGTATTGGATGCCTTTCTTTTGAGAAGGAAGGTTGATGTGTTGAAGTCATGGAAAGCAAGATTGGCCAGAAAAGGCAGATGGTTAAAAGTCTTGAATTCAAGACAGGCGTGTGTTTCTATTTGGTGTGATTATTGTTAGGAAGGCCTTAAGCAGGGAATAGTGTGCTGAGGATATTGCTTTAGAGAGATATGTTGAATTCTGTTTGTGATGTGCTAATGCTTAGGTGGAGAAGTTTTGTAGATGGGAACATGACTGAGGTTGAAGGTATAGGAGGAAATACAGGCCAAAGGCATTTGTGAGCATTGTGAGGAAAACGAGCATAGGATGGAAGATCAGGGCTGAAAGGTGCACACTGGGAGAAGGGAGCTCCATGAAGTATGGAGTCATGGGCAGAGTTTGAGTGAAAGTAGTCAGTAACCTGGTCTAGAAATCAGAGAATTAACTGGCTTGGAAAAAAAAAATCGAGATGAATATAAACTAGTCCTTTAGAGATATTGACAATTGAAGTAGAAAAATAAGGTAATTGAAAAAAGTTGGGAATTTAAAAATTCTGCATATATTTGTATATATGTAAGAACAGATAGTATGGAAAGGGAGGGAGCAGAATGATGTGAATAAAGATGTTGTTCTGGGGGGTATTATTCAAATTCTTTTGAAATTATTATTATTTTTTGAGATAGGGTCCCTGTCACCCAGGCTGGAGTGCAGTGGCATGATCATAGCTTACTGCAGCCTCAAACTCCTGGGCCCAAATGAGCCTTCTATTTCAGCCTCCCGAGCACCTGAAATCAAATTCTTTTTCTAACTCATTTTTTAGTTATTAACATCAATAGATGCTTACTATATAAAACCATAAACTGCAATTAGGGGAAAGCACCAAATATCTCCAGAGATAACAACTAAAATTAATTGAAATTGACATTTCAATAGAAGTTCTTCTGGTCTTTTTCTGTGCATATTTCAGCATAATTGAAATTCTTTCTATTCCTTTGTGTATTCCATTTTTCATTTCAAAGTTTTTCAATGCAGGAGAAATTATGCTGTGTTGATATTTCAGTGGCCTGTTAATATCTCATGGAATTGAGTTAACTGTTTTGCTATTTTTGCACATGCATATTTTGTGTTTATTTTTGTGGTAGCAAGGTTGAAATAGGTATCCTTATACCTAAATTTGTGTTTACATCTTGGACTAGTGTCTTGGAATACAATTCTAGGACTCGAGTTTCTGGAACAAACTATGAACAGTTAAAGTTCTTGACACCTGCTGCTAAACTGTCTCAAAGGTTCCTCTTAAGAGGAGATTTAAAAGATGGCTTGTCCAGGCGTGGTGGCTCATGCCGATAATACCAGCACTTTGGGAGACCGAGGTGGGTGGATCACTTGAGGTCAGAAGTTTGAGACCAGCCTGGCCAACATGGTAAAACCCTGTCTCTACTAAAAATGTAAACAAATTAGCTGGGTGTGGTGGTGTACATCTGAAATCCTAGCTACTCAGGAGACTGAGGCATGAGAATCACTTGAACCTGGGAGGCAGAGTTTGCAGTGAGCAGAGATTACCACACTATACTCCCACCTGGGTGACAGAGTGAGATCTATTTTTAAAAAGTAAATAAAAATTAAAGAAGTAAATAAATGATGGCTTATTTCATAATAGTTATGGCTTTGTAAAGCTTTTAAATCTGCTTTACCCAGAGTCTAGCTTTTAAATAAAATATGAGATATAAAAGGTGGGAGCCTCTTGAGTGAAATGTGGGGGCTTTTTCTCTCTCCCCATAGGATAGATATATTCTGTTTCTTGTCCCCCATTGAGTCAAGAATAATTTAACTTTTGGCATAAGACACTGCTGAAGAAAAATAGGTTGAATAAGCTAACATTTTTCTTCTTTTTGCAGGATATAGAAGACTTAGATCACTATGAGATGAAAGAAGAGCCTATTAGTGGGAAAAAGTTGGAGGATGAAGGAATTGAAAAAGAAAATTTGGCAATATTAGAGAAAATTAGGAAAGACCCTTTAAATGTGTAAGTGTGTGTAAATAGCTAGAGCCTGGACTTTTTGGTTAAGTAATTATAGTTGATACCAGGCAATTTATGAACATGCCGATCTCAGCTGCTCTCCTTCTCCATTCCTGCCTTAGTCATATGTTTATTGGTTTTGAGACAGGGTCTTGCTCTGTCACCTGGGCTGGAGTGTGGTGGCACAATCGTAGTTGACTGTAGTCTTGATCTCCCAGGCTCCAGGGATCCTCTTGCCTCAGCCTCCCAAGTGTCTCGAACTATAGGCATGTGCCACCACACCAGGCTAATTTTTTTGATTTTTAGTAGAGATGAGGCCTCACTATGTTGACCATGCTGGTCTTAAACACTTGAGTTCCAGCGATCCTCCTACCTTGGCCTGCC